CACTTTTTGCCTATTGTTTTCTAGGTTCGAGGTTGAGTGGGGCTCCCTTGCCTCGCTTGTACTGTTGCATCCATGCATTTTACTGCTTTATTATATCTGTTATTGTTTCTGTTTCTGCCTATCCCGTAGGATCTCTGTTTCTCTCTGTGCAAGAGAGGAGCATGATAGACACTAGGTCTTAACCCATGCATGATAACATTAGGTTAGTTTGTTTCCCTTCGCAACCGTAGGTTAGAGTTCTGTCTCTTTCTTTCTCAAAACAAACAGAAAAACACATAAAGATTTCAAACACAATAAAAGACACTTCTTCCGTAAAAGAATGTGAACTCATCAAGACGTCATTTTTGTCCGCTTGGACTGTTAATCAGAAAAACCTTTTTCAGAAAGAATAAAAATCAATCAAGGACAGACTTGTGTTGTACGTGGCCCGAACTACGTTTGCTCTGATCTTTCATGCTGTATGAAAGTACGTAGGCATAGGATGCGATATCCTAGCGAGCAACCTTCCCCTCATTTCCCGTAGGTAGGCGAACTACGTTGACTCTGATTTCTCGTTCCAGACGAGAATACGTAGGCATAAAGTGCGATACTTTGCCGAGTCATTTTTATTTTCATTTTATTTTCTTTTTCACCCTTGACCTATAGTTTAGATAGAATAACAATCCATACCCGAAAACAAGCGTGGATCCCGTCGAGTACGACGGACGTGAGGGGTGCTAATACCTTCCCCTTGCGTAACCGACTCCCGAACCCAGGTTTTGGTCGCGATGACCATACCTTTCCCGTGTTGTGCGAGGTTTACTCTGAGCGTTTCCTTTCCCTCCCGTGGGATAAATAACGCACGGTGGCGACTCTTCTGTTCAGCCGGCGCCGATTTTCGCAGTAGCGACACTGTCAACTCACACCTTCATGCCCTGACATATGAGAAGATATACTGAGATATGCGCTGACCCGCGGAAAAACCAACTGATGTATGCGCCGACCCTATGGTCGACTCATACCCTGCAAACCTGCAAAAACTGAGATTTTTGTGGTTTTTCATGCATTTTGTCACGACCATATTTTATCCACACATGTTGTATTAACTATAACAGTTTTTTGAAAAATGTAAAAGGATACGGGAGGTGATATGTAGCATTTGTTTGATAGAGGTGGAATTTACAATTTCCAATTCATCCATGGTTGTAATTCGTCATCATCGAAACCTATATCAAGTGATGTCTGCAAACTCGTGTGGTGTATGGCGGTTTGCCCTTACAGATCCCCTAGGCTGCTGTGTGAAAGAATAATGTTGAGGAAGAAAACTAGATCCCCCAGGCTGCTGTGTGAATGAAGACGGTACCTAAGGAAAATTAGATCCCCCAAGAGGATGCATGAAGGATCCCCCAAACGGATTAATAAACGATGGATTCCTAGATGGAAACGTTTGGGAGGAGGAGAGTAATGTCGTAAATGGTTGTGAAGTGTCTACGGACATTAGATCTGCCTGAGTCTGTGAGCAAGAAGCATACATGGGCAAGGGAGGTACCTCACGTACTCTAGCTCTCGAACGGGGCTGGGTCTCCTTAGCCTTACCCTTGTCAGTTCGAGGTGGCATTCTATCTATTTTGAAAGAGTTATCAATAAATAAATCAAGACTATTATCAACATAATATATACACTTAAAAATCATTTGCATTCATATAAAACAAATAATACATTAATAAAAATTGTTCGAACACATATAAAAACTATCTATTCAAACTCTTCATGCTCTTCATCCATATTATTTTCATCATCTGATCCAAACTCTTCATTCTCTTCGTCCACATTATTATCTACCAACAACACAGATGCATCAATCTGATGACCCTCGACCAATGTATCACACAAATTTGTATATTCTTAAACTTCAACCACATCATTAATTTGAGAAATTTCATCGTCTTGGTAAGCAGCATCTTCCACTAGATTGTCAGTTTCAATATGACCCAATGGTTTTGTTTTGATTACAACACACCATCCATGTTTACATGACTGAATTGAAGGGTACAGAACATAATAAACTTGTTTAAAGATATGTGACATTATGAAAGGGTCATACTCTTTGTATCTTCTGTCCATTCGAATATCAACAATGTTATATTTCCTATCTATTTTTGTGCCCCTGGAAGATAGATCATATCAATCACAATAAAACAAGACAAGTATATTTTCCAAGTCCAAGTAATTGTATGCCAACTCGTAAATATGTGTAACAACGCCATATAAGTCGTCTTCACCACCATCTATAACTCCTTTAACAAATACATCACTATTTATGGTTTTTTTCCCTTCTGTCCAAGCCTGGGTGTGAAATTTATAGTCATTCACAAAGTATGTGTGCCATTCAATTGCTCTTTGAACAGGGCCTCTAGATAAGTTTCTCAAATGAAGTATTTCTTGAGTCGGTGCAACAATGCTTGACAATTGATCCTTGAACCATGTTGGAAAAGATGCATGTATGTGACCGGTAATTGCTTGCTCACCGGTGCTTTGAAAATAGGAGGCGTTAAATGCCCTATAAAGAAATATACTATTAGTTAGAATGTAATAATTCAATTTGTAAAGCCAAATAGGTAGTTACGTTAGGGGTATACTTACTCAAGGTATGGCCTAACTTCAATACGGTTAGTTAGAACATGAACATGTGCAAATTGCAATTCTTTTTAGGTCAACCAATGCACATTCTCCTTTCCAGAGGGGCGACCGGGAAGATCGAAGATTGACAAGGTAAACTGACTTCTTTTGTTAACATCAAATTCATTCCTTATGATTCTTGGAGTTAACATCAAATGGTTGAAATAATGACTACAAAAATGCGATGTTTCCCGATGCAAGTAATGTGCACATATTGATCCTTCAACTTTAGCTTTATTTTTCACTGATCGCTTTGAATCACCCATGAATCTTTCAAAGGGATACACCCACCTGTATTGAACAGGGCCACCAAGATAGGCTTCATAAGCAAGATGCACAGGTAGATGCTCCACAGAGTCGAAAAAACCAGGTGGAAAAACTCGTTCCACCTTACATAGAATAACTGGAATATTTTGGTCCAACTTAATGATGCTATCGACTCTTAAAGTTGACGCACAAATATCTCTGAAAATTGACTTATTTCAATTAGCGGATATAGTACATGGTTGGGTAGTGAACTTAAAGCAATTGGAAGCAATCGTTCCATGAAAACATGACAATCATGACTTTTCATTCCATGCAACTTCCCAGTTTTTGTGTCAGCACACCTTGCTAAATTTGAAGCATAACCATCAGGCATTCTCAATGTATTTAACCATCGACGAACCGCTTTAGCATCTTGGGAAGTTAGACTGTAACAAGCCTTAGGTTTTAGTAATTTTCCATCAGGCCGAGGCTTCAACTCCAAGTCTTTTCTATCACACAAAATTTCCATATCCCTTCTAGCCTTCTCATTATCTTTTGTTTGCCTTGAACATCCATCACTGTGTTAAATATATTATCAAAGAAATTCTTTTCAATATGCATAACATCAAGATTATGTCGCAATAAATTATCTTTCCAATATGGGAGGTCCCAAAATATACTTCTTTTTGTCCAATTGTGTTTGACCCCATATCCTTGAATTCTGCATGCTTCACCATAATCTGTGAATTTTGGCAGTTCAAAAACTCGATTCCATATTTCCTCTGGTGACAATCGAGGAGGAGGCAAATCTTTTACTTGTACATTTTTTTGAAATCAGCCTTGTTTCTTTTGAAGACATGGTCTCATGGTAGGAATCTGCGGTGACAGTCGAACCACAAACTTTTCCCTCCAAATTCCAAAGTAAAAGCCTTTGTAAATTCCATGCAATGTGGACATCCCATTTTGCCATGCGTACCCCAACCAGATAACATTCCATAAGAGGGAAAGTCATTAATAGTCCACATCAAGGCAGCTCACAAAGTAATGTTTTGTTTGCGAGATATATCATAAGTCCATTCTCCAATCCACAACCTCTTCAAATCATCTATGAAAGGTTGTAAATAAACGTCGATTCTAGCTTTAGGACTTGACGGTCCTGGAATGAGGCAAGTCAAAAACATGTATGGTTTTGTCATGCACATCTTTGGAGGGAGGTTGTAAGGGGTTACAATAACTGGCCAATATGAATATGCATTTGCGGATGCTTGGATGTATGGAGTAAAACCATCAGAGCATAGTCCGAGCCTGACATTTCTAGGTTCTGCAGCAAAATCAGAATGTACCCTATCAAAATGTTTCCATGCCTCACTATCAGATAGATGCCGCATAATGCCTGAACTTATTTTGTTTGTATGATGCCATGTCATTTGACTTGCACTGTGCATTGAAGCAAACAACCTTTTTAACCTTGGTATTATCGGCAAATAAAACATGGACTTCACTGCTACACGTTTTTGTCTACGGTTAATGGCTTTACTACAAACTTGATATCTCGGACTCTTACAGAACTTACATTCCTCTAGCGTCTCATCATTAATACCAAACTCGTTGTCATAAAACAACATACATCCATTTATTATGCAACAATCAATCTTTCGTACTTCTAAACCCAACTTCGACACCAACCTCTTTGCATCATAATAACTTGTATGCAAGTTGTATTTCGTAGGAGTCACATCCAACATCATTTTTGCAAAATATTCCAAGCACTGATCAGGAACATTCCAATTTGACTTTGCGGCCAACAATCTCACACACATTGATAATTTTGAATATGCCGACCCCTCAAACAACGGTGTATTCATTTCTTTCAACAATTGGTAAAATCTTTGTGCTTCCTCATTCGACAACTCTTCCCCATCAAAATCTTGAGGTTCATCATATGTTACATTTACTCTAAATGCATTGCCAACCATATCATTGATCAGATTAAATTGTTCCTAAAATTCCATATGTGATCGACTGCTTGATGCATGTGTATTAGTTGTCTCTGCATGTACGTTACTCAGCAGTTGTTCTCCATTATATGTCCAAACTCAATAATTTTTAATGAAATCTTTCCTCTTCAAATGACGTTCTACTTCCTCAGGGTCACTAATTATAGGTCTACATTCACATTTAAGACAAGAACATTTTACTCCTCCTTCGCGTCGACAACATTCTTGTGCAAATGCCCACATGATAAACCCCTTAACTCCTTCCTCAAAATTTGGTATAAGTCCACGTCTGCCTCGTAACGTTCTATCATACATCCAACTACGATAGTAACGAAAATATTCCATACTCCACATTTGTATTATCATTATATATCATTTTAATTAAATATGTGATTTTAATATGCAAAATAATATAATTTTTTCACATTGTTTTAACCTAATAAAAATAAATTTAAATATTTTTAAAAATTATGTTTTTTCTAATATATAATATATATTATGTTTATTAAAATATAATATTCTAAAATATAATATATAATTTGTTTACTAAAAATAACACATTTAAAATATAATATATATTTATTATTTTTAAAAATCTGGTTTTTCTAAAAAAATATATATTATGTTTACTAAAATATATTACATATTCTAAAATATAATATATAATTTGTTTACTAAAAATAACACATTTAAAATATAATATATATTAATTATTTTTAAAAATATGTTTTTCCTAAAATAATATATATTATGTTTACTAAAATATAATACATATTCTATAATATAATATTCTAAAATATCATATATAATTTGTTTACTAAAAATAACACATTTAAAATATAATACATATTTATTATTTTTTAATAAAAATAATTCTATTTACAAAATACTTTTTCTAAAAATATTTACAATTTTTTTTTCTAATCTACATAACTTTATGTTTTTAAAATAAATACTTTTTAACTTTTTCTATTTACAATTTTGTTTACTAAAAATATTTTTAAAAATTCTGTTTTTTCTAATATAATATATATTCTGTTTTTAAAAATATAAAACATATTCTAAAATATAATATATATATAATTTATTTTTCATATATAATCAATAACCAAAAATATAATATATATTTTGTTTTTAATAAAAATAACATATTTAAGTACAACAACAACAACCAAATATTTCATATACAATATTACTCATAGATAATCAATATTATTCACATTAAAAATATAATATATATTATATTTTTCATATATAATCAATAAATTTTAATTTTATACAACAACAACCAAACATTACATATACTTATAAATCTGAAAAATAAATAATTTTAATTACATAAATACCTCAATGGAGCAAATTACTAAAGCTTAATATTTCAAATCTTCTTGAATATTTCAAATCTTAATCTTCGGAAGAAAAAAATTAAAAATTAATAATAAGAAAAAATTAAAATAAAATGTAAAACAAAAATAAAAACTAAGAATGTAACATTTACCTGAAAATGTTTGTGAAGCAGTGAAATGAAGGAGGAGAGGAAACACTCAAGCGCAGAAGGAAGGAGGAAGAAGGAAGGAAAAGAGAAATGTGTGAAGGGAGTTCTGAGTTTGGCCAATATATAGTCTCATTTGCGACATGGTAGACACGTGGGAAAGTACCCACGTGAATACCATGTCAGAACACTCAATAAAGTATAAAGCTTGTGACGTGAAACCAACATGAAAAGGTTGCCACGTGAGATGCACGTCGGAACTTTCTCAGCATTTAATTTTGCAACGTTCAAATATTAATTGACAAGCAACGCGACAAAAATAAAATAATACATTAATGTGTGTCATTTGCGACGTGGGAAGCATGTGGGAAACCTGCAAAAGTCAAATCCATCTTTAATGTGTCTGAACTGTAAAAGTAAAAGCAGACCAACTTTAATATATTTCCATTTGCGACGTGCATCCCATGTGGGTACTTTGTGACTTGTTTACCACGTCGCAAAAATAAAGACTTTTTTGAATTTTTGTTTCCCATGTGGTTACCACGTCACAATTAAATTTCTGAATAATTCAAATTTTCCTCCCCCAAAAAACAACATTCAACGTTATAGATTTTAAATTTGAATGAGTTATTAATTAAATATTGTAGTGGCGTGGTTTACACGTCGCAACCTCTGTTTTTTTCCACGTGTTTACCACGTCACTAAATCACTTAGCTAAATGCAGGTTTTCTTGTAGTGACTACACTAATACAATACGTCGAAAGTGTTATATATAACAACAATGCTATTTTTATACCAAAACATACACTACAATGTATGCACTATTCACTAATACATTGAACAATGAGGAAGAATACATAAACCATGTGGAACAGTGTCATATGAACAGTGCATACGTCTGTGAATAGTAATGTGAATAGTGTTTGTGTATAGTATATGAATAGTAATTTTTTAAGAGTGAATAAAGTTGGTTAATGAAATGTAAAAAATTAGTTAATGAAGTTATGAAGTTAGTTAATAGATGCTCATATATTAAAAATAAATTTTAGTAGCAAATCAAAGTTGGTTAATGAAAAGTAAAAAGTTATTTAATGAAATTATAAAGTTGGTTAATAAACGTTTAGATATTAAAAATAATTTTGAACCGTCATCAAAGTTGGTTAATACAACGTAAAATGTTAGTTAATAAAGTTATGAAGTTGCTTAATCATATAATTTATTATTAATATTCTTTAATAACAAATAAAAAAACTTTAAAAAATAATATTATTATAATATTTTATTATTCACCGTATTGGTGAAGAGTAAAATATAATATAAGTGTAAAAATTAAGTGTAAGAATATGATTTGTTTATATGTAATTTTTGGCAGTCTCGAGGACGAATTTTTTTGTTTAGGATGCCTCTTGGTTATGCTAAGATGGCATATGGGTGTTGTTGTAATATGGGATGGTGTTGTAATATGGTGGTGTTGTAATAAATTTGTTAGTATTAATTTTAGTCTAACTTTCGCACAAAGGTTCGTGTGAGTCCTCTACAATTCTTTATAAAAAGTGGATAGTGGTCCTTCACCGTAATGCTGAGATCTTATTGAAGGTTTAGAGTGCCCTTTATACATCTTTTAATATATTCTAATTATAAAAAAAAAAAAAAAAAAAAAACAATGGCATTGAAAAGTTTAGGGACAAAATGGCTACACTGTAACATTTTAAAGATTTAATTTTAAATTATACATTAGAGGCAAAAAAGCTAAAAAAAAAAAGTAACACTATTTAAAAAAAAACTATATTTTATCATGGTTAGAAAAGAGTCGAAATTAAAACAGGTTAATCTTAAAAAATTTCAAAATAACCTTTATTTTTATGAAACGAAACCTAAATAACAATTTTTGTATCACATTTTTAACGAACAGAAATGACACATTTTTTGTGAAATAAAATTATATTGTGTGCGCGTGCGCGCACGACCACGTTGTAACACCCTATAATTCTGACTCTTCAATTATAAGAGATAAAACTAGTGTTTTAAAAATCGAACCGGTAATCAAATCGTTGAAGGTACTGAGTGTCGCTACTCGAAAAAAAAATGCAACAACAGAGAGACGAGAATGAAAAGACAGAAGAGTCGCCATCGAACTTTATTTATTCCATGAGGGGAAGGGAAAATATCGAGAAAACCTCAAGAAAGGAACGGATAAGATGGTCTCGCAACCAAGAGAAAGGGTTCGGAAGCCGGTTATGCAAAGGGAAGGTATTAGCACCCCTCGCATTCATCGTACTCGATGGGAACCATTTGTTTGTCTATGTGTGAAGGTATTTGCTAAAATATATTGCTTATAAAGAGTGTTCCACAAGATAAAGAGGGAAAAGAAAGATAACGGGGGAAGAAAGGACTCGGTAGGACTTCGCGGTCCTATGCCTATGTATTCTCAACAAGTGTGAGAAAGTCAGAGTCAATGTAGTTCGGGGAACTACGGGTAGAAAAATGGGAACGTGCTCGGCAAGGATTGGGGTCCTTGTGCCTACGTATCTTTACTTAAAAGAAGTAAAGAATCAGAGTAGACATATAGTTCAGCCAACTAGGGGTGAAAGGTAGAAAAGTGAGCTTGCCAAGACATAGTCGTCTTGTGCCTACGTATTCTCATCTGGTATGAGAAATCAGAGAAAACGTAGTTCGTGGTACGATTTACCAATATTTTTGTGGATGATGTCAACATGCGCATTCTAGCAGTTAGGTGTGTTACTGCTCGCTCGTTGGAGACTTAGGCATTACCTGTTTGTGGTAGAACGGACGTAACATATCTTTTTTGAAAGATTAGTTTTCATCATTCAAGGCAAGATGTCACATTTGATTTGTGGAAGTTGTTTTTAGGGGCGAAATAGGTCCTCGGATAGTAACCCCTTGCGGGTAGTACCCAATTCTTTATCTCAAAAGAATTATTGTGAAGAGGTGTGGCGAATATAGTTGCGTCTTCGTATTGAAAGACGAGTATCAGGACCATACACTCTACAGTGAGTATCTTGAAACTCGGAGAGAAAGAAGTCTACACTCAATCCTCTATCTTTAGTTCAATACAAAGAGAACTTCATTCTCTTATTAAAAATATTTTTGATCTGGAATGGTAAGTGTTTTATGACAGTGAACCCTAAAGGTAATATCAAACACTCGGGATAGGAGAAGACCTACGCCTAACCACTCCACGACCATTCAAGTTTTATTTAAGAAAAGAGTTTGAAAATGCGCTTGGCACGAGACCAAGGTTTTTAGGAGAAAAGTTTTAAAAAGAAGAAGTGGTAAATTGGTTTGAAAGTTGGTTGAGAAAATCCGCTTAACGTTGGATCAAGGGTTTGACTTATACTTGCGTGCAAAAGCATGGTGGAATGGAAGTGGGTTTGAAAATGGCTCGATGACAAATCTAGAATTAGTTTGAAAACAAATATTCTAGTCCCTGGGGGTGCTCCTAGAAAATAAGTTGCAGTCAAAGAAATACGAAATACGTACATAGGAAATGGGAGAGGGGTACATGCAAATTACACGGGATTGCACGAAATAAAAAGTCTCATTGTCAGGTAGCCCAAGAGAAAGTCGTGTGTGTGCAATGTGTCCAAAGCTACGCCTTGAGCGAAAGTCGGGCACAAATCCATGCTAGGGTTCCTGCAAATGTTCAAAGATCTGTCACTTGGACAAACAAACAACAGTCCACCAATTTAGGATTTTATGGTTTCGATATTTATTAGGTGTTTTGAAAGAATGTACAAGTGAATATATACAAGATAAAGGCAATATACAGAATATATAACTATATGTACAAGAATATATTAAGAGAAATATTGACAAGTATATGGACAGGATA